GAAGAGATGTGTAACTCATGCAATTGCTATTTGATGACCAAGGTCAGGGAGGCCTTATGAGCTACTAGTTTTCTTAGTGAAAAAGAATGGCTGTAGATTTAACAGGGTAAAATAAATGTCAGTAATCATAAATTGAAGCCTAAGATAGGCAAAGTGTTCATAAGGAAGAATTTGACTATTATAAGTGAATTGAAATTCTTTCCCAGGGTGACAAGAGGTCTTGTAGAATAGATTTCTAGTGACAGTTGTTAAAGTTTCAGAGACTGCTGGCTGGTGCCACAGCTCAATAGGCTAATCCTCCGCCTGCGGCACCAGCACACCGGGTTCTAGTCCCAGTCGGGACACCGGATTCTGTCCCGGTTGCCCTCTTCCAGGCCAGCTCTCTGCTGTGGCCAGGGAGTGCAGTGGAGGATGGCCCAAGTTCTTGGGCCCTGCATCTGCATGGGAGACCAGGAAAAGCACCTGGCTCCTGCCTTCGGATCAGCACGGTGCGCCGGCCGCAGTGCACCGGCCGCAGCGGCCATTAGGGGGTGAACCAACGGAAATAGGAAGACCTTTCTCTCTGTCTCTCTCTCACTGTCCACTCTGCCTGTCAAAAAAAGTTTCAGGGACTGTGCTGTGGATGAAAGGTGATAGAAGACTGGAGATGGCAAACATTGGCTTTGGTTTTCAAGAGGGACAGGAAGCATATGGGCTCCTTAGCTCAGACCAGGAAACATCATGTGAATTGAGTACAAAATTCCAGAACAGATTACTGAAAGGTAATTTGTTAGTACTTAGGAAAAAAAGTCGTAACCATGAGAAGTCAGCATGAATTCTCTAAGAACAAGTCATGTTAAAAAAAAATCTTTTTTCTGTATTTGACATGATTATTTGATTGGTAGATCAGTAAAAATGTAGGTATAATATATATGAATATCAACAAGGCATTTGACAAGATGGAGAAAGGTGGGTAGAATTCTAATAAAAGAATACTGTCTCATGAAAGAGCAACCTGCAGGGAGGATCCAAGATATATAGCACGTTGACCTGGATCTGGTGCTATCTAACATTTTCGTTAATCAAGAGATACACAGTAAAGTTCCACATGACAATTTTCAGACAATGACAGACCACATATAGCATGATGGTCCCATAAAATTATAATGGAATGGAAAAATTCCTGTTTCTAAGTGACATCATGGCTGTGGTGATGTTATAATGTAATGCATTACCCAAAGGTCTTTGGTGATTCTGGTGCAAATAAACTATTGTGTACAATTAGGGACTGTATATAATACTTGATACTGATAATAAATTACTATCTTACTGGTTTATATAGTTAATATACTTTTATTATTACTTGAGCATATTCCTTCTGCTTACGAAAAAAAGTTTACTGTAGAACAGTGTACCGTGTTATGCCAGCATCAGCCTCATATATCTCATGTTTATTGCATCCCTTCATTGGATCAAGAGTTCATGTCAAGTGATCGACCTAAGTTTGGGTTAAGTCTAATGGAGTCATTTCTTAGAATGTAGCCCCATTGTTAAGCATAAGATTGCATCTAGTTTGAACAAGGTGTGGGGGGGCAACTAATTGTGGGTCACTGCACAGAATACTGAATAAATCAATCAATCAAGGAGACTATCTGCCAAATGTCCCATGTAAAAGGCATAAGATCTGCTCTCAGTTCTTGTTCAAGGGGCAGTCATCAGGTGGCTGCTGCCCTGTTGCTTCTTTTGAACCATATGATTGTTCTCTCCCCTTGGCCTCAGCTGGCAGAGAGGATAACTGACAGGGTTTGCCAAGAAACTAAACATGGCCTGGTACAAAAGGAACGAACTGGGCTAATCAGATTCCCTTTCCTAGTTTTTTGACCCTAGAACTACAAAGAGAATTAGGCAGTTAGCAAAGCGACAGGCAGCTGAAAGGATGTGAGGTGAGAGGTGTCAGAGGGTGCACTTGGAGTCGTGCTGTGCTCTGATAAAGGAGAAACTATGTGGTAGACAAAAGCAATATTAAGCTGATGGAAAGAATAAGCTACTGGGTAAAGAAAGAGACAGAGAGGAACAAAAGTGTAGATAATTGCTGAGCTTTATTAATGCCAGAGATGTAAGGCTTTGCCCTTCTTTTTGGTTTAAGCAGTGTTTCCTGGGTTCTCGGGGACTGACAACATAATTACTCGCGGTACCCTGAATGACCTCTACTCCCTGCAATCGCAGGGCCTAATAAGAACCCACACCTGCATTTAGCTTTGGCCATTACATTTCAAGAACAGTTTGGGCAAACTGGAGTGTGTACTAAAGACAAAGAACAGGAAGGGACATTTGAAAGCAGTTAACCTGAGGAACTGGTGAAAGAACTGCGGAAACATTTAGCCCAGAGAAGAGAAGACTCGGGACAGGGAGGAGTAGTAAGAGGGATTTTAGGCAGCGGGATCCTAAAACTAGAACTGGGAAAATGGGATGGGTTAAGAAGTGCTAAATGTTGGTTTCAACGTGGAATGGGATGCCATAGGAATAAGTGACTTCCTTACTCTGGAGATGCTTAACTTTTTTAAAAAATTAGTTTTTAAAGCATTTTTAATGTGCTTTGTAGATACAGTTCTCAGAACTCCATATTCCCTCCTCCCACTTTCCCCTTCCTTCTCTAGAGAGATTTAAGCAGAGGCAGGTGACAACTTAGTAGTGATAGTAATATCACCTTTAAGTTGTAGGGTGATTGTCAACGCATGTGGTACTTTCTTTCTGTTACACTGTGCAGATGTTCTTAAAAACCTGCCAAGGTGGCTGGCGCCGGGGCTCACTAGGCTAATCCTCCGCCTAGCGGCGCCGGCACAACAGGTTCTAGTCCCGGTCGGGGCGCCGGATTCTGTCCCGGTTGCCCCTCTTCCAGGCCAGCTCTCTGCTGTGGCCCGGGAGTGCAGTGGAGGATGGCCCAAGTTCTTGGGCCCTGCACCCCATGGGAGACCAGGAGAAGTACCTGGCTCCTGCCATCAGATCAGCGCGGTGCGCCGGCCCTAGCGCCGCCGGCCGCGGTGGCCATTGGAGGGTGAACCAACGGCAAAAGGAAGACCTTTCTCTCTGTCTCACTGTCCACTCTGCCTGTCAAAAAAAAAAAAAAAAAAAAAAAAAAAAAAAAAAAAAAAACCTGCCAAGGCAGCTATTTCAGTATTCATCGTCACAGATGAGGAGGCTGAAGCTCAGGGAGCTTCTGTGACATGGTTCATGTACAAGGTGCTGGGCGGCCACTGTTACCTTCCACTGAATATATGAAATGAACATTTCAAAGGATATTTTTGGACAATTCTAGTTGATCAAGCTGATAGGGTTTCTAGGTTTTTTTCAAATTCATCTTTGTGGGGCTGGATATATTTTCAAACGTACTAAAAAGGTTCCCTACTCAGTCTTACATGAAAACGTATGTTCTTCTGTGCGCCTGATGAAACTGAGACCAATTAATACATTCCTCGCATAGATGCAGAAGGTCCGTGGGTGCAGTTTGTACAAACATGCCTAGATGTACTTTTTCAAATAAGAATAGTTTTCTTCTTCCATTTGCCTGAGCCCATTCCCCACCCTCCTTCCAGATTTCCTGTTATTTGGCTTCTTAGAGGAAAGGAGGGTATTTGCTTCTCTGAATCGCTAGTTAACCATATTGTCCCACTGTTTCCTCAGCTCTCTATCACTAAGTCCTGCAAATGAATTAAAAGAAGAATGAGGAAACTGGCACTTTTTGAAAGCCCCTTGAAGAAGATACACTCAACTACTGTTCTCTGCTTTCCTCACTTCACTCACCTCTCCCTTGCCATTAAAACAGTCAAAAACCCCAGTGATGTACAAACTCTATCATTAGTATAGTTCTAATTGTGTTAGCCTCACCATAGCTGCTGACTGCTATATTTTCTCTTGGGAGATAGCAGAAATAGCAGTTTATGAAAGCATTTAATCTGGTAAGTGATAGATGATAGAATTTTCTGGACTTGGGCCATAGTACTTTCAGTTTGTTGGTGGTGACATATTCTCTGATGCCATGGCTGGCATTTAATTTAATATGTTGCCAAGGGGGAAAAACACTCTTATAATGAAAGTTTATTAGCCCCTCCCTTTCTGTTTCAGTTCTCAGATGTCAGGATAGAAGCTGATAGCAGACATTGTCTAGCACATGGTATGTTATGCCCATTGGTTACATGTACATGTTTTGGTGGTAGACTTAAATAAGGCATACAGAAGACAAGGGAGAAGTGCATGGATTTAAAACATAACAGCATGCTTTGCTTTCTTAGTTCACATATTTCACCATTAATAGTTACAATTTTTGATTTAAGAAAGAATGATTAGAAATGATGGACAATTTCTCAGTTTGTTGTATCTAATGATCAAGGGACCTAGAACTGTGGAGGAACCTCAAATCCATGACAAAGATTTGAGGAGTGAATCTGGAAGCCTAAATATATGAAGCAACAGGAAAACAGAGACAAGTATTTTCCGCTCAAAACACCAAGCCTCATCCTAAAGACAGAATGTAGTCTTTCAAGTTACATATATGCTTCCATTTCATGAAAAAAAAGTGTTTGAAGGGAACTTACTGTTTTGAAGAATCTTATAATAAAGAAAATGGAAACTATCACTGTCCAACAGTTGTGTCTGGGTGTTCCTGTAATATTGCAGTTTCTTAAAACAAGGGACAATTGCCTTTCGCTTTGAGGCTGCAGTGACAGCTTAGATAATTGCTGCCTTTCATGTTTTTGTGGGTGTTTGACAGGGGGTGCTTATGCAGCTGTGGATTCATCTTTTCACATGTATCTGCTGTGGTCTGTGTCTGCGGGTGTGTCTGGACCTATGTGTGCAGCTGTGCCTGTGGAGGGATCTGTCCTTTTACTCATGCATCTGGGTGTGTACCTGCATGTACATTTGTGTGTCTTTGCAGGTGTCAATAGTGCAATGAATTTTCACGATCAGCGGAGTCATCCCCAGCCAATACATCAGTCTAGTGGCCTCAATAAGAGCTCAATTACCTGGTCTCCAATGGTATGTTGCTATTCAGGACCCAGCTGTTATGCAGATGGACCGAATCTTGGGTACTGGTTGGGGGAGCTGGAGCAGCTGGGCTGGGCTGGCTGCGGGTAGTCATTGATCTCCTCTGAAGAGAGTCCGCTGCAGGAGGTGGCTTCCTGGCACAGGTGCAGGCATGAGGAGGTGGTGGCGGCGGTGGGAGGGGTCTGAAGGTGAACTGGTTGTGTGGGCTGCTCTGCATGTCTGAAAAGGAGAGAAGCAAAACACAAAATACAGACTTACTCTCCCGCTTGGCAGTCAGGAAAACACAGCATGGCAGACTTGCTGGGATTTCAGATCATATAACCTGTGGGGTGGGGGAAGAGTTTTAAGTTCAGTGTGTCTGTAAAAATGTCACTTCACTTAGAAATGCACCTGCTGCATGCTTATGAAATGTAGAACATTCACAGTTGCATTTACATGTAAATTCTTCAGGGCTATAGCGGCTAAAAAGTAAATGAGGCCGCCTCACACAATTTGTCATAGTTTCTGCTACTGAACAAATAAATCATCAACAAGACACTAAGTTACAGAACAGAAGTGAGCTGATTTCCATCAGTTGCAAAAATCTCACTTCAGAAAATACCAGTGAAAGGCACAAATTTGTTGCAAGGAAAATCATTTGGCACTTCAAACACAAATAGAAGGCCACCTTCTGGCTTTACCTCAGGAAAGGAGGCTAGCCTGCCTACACAGGAGTAAATGCAGACTACAGACAAACAGCTCACAAGTGTGTAGTTGAACTGCGTGAGACCAATCTCTTCACCAGCCGCCCCCTGCCCCCGTCTCCTCAGAGCACTACGCGTAAAAGGCAGGTTACAAGGAATTTGTTCAGGATGGTAAACGTAGTGCCAAAGATATGGGAAGCACTGTCTGCACACCCTCCCCCGCCCTTGCCACACCTTTCTAGGAGCTCTGCCATGTTAGCAGCAGCTTAGGCAGCAGGGAAACTGTTTTTTTTTTTTTTTTCTCCCTTCTTGTTTGCAGAGGGGAGCAGCCTGGGAGAGCGGTCCTCAGACTTCTGCTGTTGCTATTGCTTGGTATTTTTCCACTGTTTTGCTGGCAGGCACACGTAAAGACAGTGAGTTAGAATTTGGCCCATGAGAAATACCCCAATTAAACCCCTTTGAAAAGAAATTGCTATTGTAGCTGATAGCCACCTCTCTTGCACAGGAGAAACATAATAGATGTCAAGCGATTGCTTGTAACACCAGCACGTTCTGGATAAACTTTGTAGACAGCATGGCTTTGTCCCACCTCCCAAATGACTGAGAATTCAAAAGCAGAAAAATGCCAGAGGCTTTGGATGCCTAGTGAAGGGCTCAGCTGGTTTGTGCTGAGGCCCACTTTGCAGTGACTGATCACAGAAAAGAAACACTTCCTTCAATCCTTTCACTGCTAACTTGAATTTTAAAGACACTGGCATGGTTTTCATATTCAAAAATGATAGTACAAATTGTTGGCTGTATTTTCCACTACAGGTGGCACTCCCTTTAAATCAACTTGCTATGTGAAAATCTGACCAAACAAGAAACAGACAGGGAAGGGAGTGGTGATCATCCATTTCATACAAAGGATTCCTTTAGATGGTCAGTCATCCCTGTGTATTTTAAAGGAACTTAAATGTTTCATGAATATTCTAAAGCACGCACATTATTCCAGGACCAGCCCAAATCTCATATCCACTAAAAAGATTATCACTAGTACTTCTAACATGTCACTAATTTTTTTAAATCTCTGAGCTCACACTTGGAACCATAACCAGGAGCGTGCTTTCTAGCCTCAAAGAAGCATAGAGTACTGCAAATGTAAAGATCTTGGAGACCCTCCCATTTTGCACATAAAAAACTTGTCCAGGGATACTTGACAAGTTAGTGGTCTGGCCAAGACTAGAACCCACACTTCCTGACCTGCCAGTGCTCTATTCTCTGTATTGGAGATCTCTGTAACATATGAATTATCTTTTCCTTATTAAGACTTAAGAGATTCATCCAGATTTTCTGGATTTCTCATTTCATGTCAGCTTCTCTCTTAGACCCATAGGTCCCTAAACATAGAAATGAAAGCACTGTGGTACCATGGCATGCAGTGCAGTATAGTGAAAAAGGCAAAGGACTGTAGGTTTGCAAACTTGGGCTCCAGTTCTACCTTTGCCATTTGGAAGCTTGAACTGGTCATCTGCAAAATGGAGATAATAATCATTTTCCCTAACAATTCAACTCCATTCATGTAAAATGTATCGGAACACAGTATGTCAATGACTATGTATTGAGTACAAGTGAAAGGATAAAACTCTAAGACTGGAAAGAACCATAAGGACCATCTAATTCAGTCCTTCATGGCTGTTGTACAGAGCAGGCCCCCAAGGCGTACCAAAGAAGTGATTCGCTTACAGTCATTCAGCTTTATATGAATTCGCCTGCCCTTGTCGGATGATTCTCAACCCAGAACTCTTTCCCTTATATTACTTTGGAAAAGTAAATATGACTCTCTTTTTCTGACCTCAGCACTTAATGTTGTTACTGGAGTTTACAATATTATAGGCTTCTCTTCATATCTTTTGTTTTATCCCCCAACGCAGGCTACATGTTCCACAGAGAAAAGGCACCTGCTATTTCTCTTGCATGCCACACAGTGTTGTGCACAATGCTGGATCCAGAGCAATATCCCTAAAACCTTTTACTGATTGAAAAGGGTTTGATTGGTTCAAGGAACCTAGAGACTCACTTTCAGCATTCCTTTTGGCCCTCATTCTGATGTAGTCACTGAATATCTATTCGAGGGTTCATAGAGAAGTAGCTTTCTCCCTTGAAGGTCTCAATGAAATCTCTTCAAGAGCCACGGGAAAGGACAATGATGCCCTGAAGAGTATGCTTAAAATAATGCCCTCTAAGATGTGGAAAGAGCAGCAGTGACAGCCTATAGATTTGTCTTTGAAAGCGCCACAAGAGGAAGGACTCAATGACCCAAGGAAGCAAGGGGTGGGAGTCAAGGGCTAGAGGAAGATGAGGAGTCAATTTTAGGTCTTATATTCAGAACAACTATAAATAACACATGTGACATCTACTAGCCTAATCTGTAGTTGTTTCTGTTAGCACAATTGTTGAACAGAGTTTCTATGCAGTATAGTTGTGAAAAAGCATCATTCACGATCAATATGATCATCTAGATTCATTGCTTGCTAGATTTCAAAAACCTGTGTTACCTTTTATATGAAAAATGATAAAAATGTCACTTTATTGAAAAGTGCAATAGTGGTATTATAATGTTACTACTGCAGGTAGAACTGCTTTGTATAGTCATTTATATTTGTGTACATATGTATATGAATATACATACACATACTTGTATGTACATATACATATGAGATGTACACTTTGATTTTTCTCTATTTTATTATGTATTTTTATTTCCACATTTCAAATATGTACAGGATTTACTACTAGTTAATATTGTCTTTAAAGGATTTCACAATATTGGATTGTGGCGCTGAGTGAATTCGTCCAGACCTTAAGCCCTTATGAAATGCAAATGATCTTGGATTCATTCTTTTTTTTATTTCACCTCAGGAAAAAGATGGGGAATGCACTTGTTCACTCCCAAATGAAGTAATTTAATCCTTGGACTCCGTGAAATGGGATTTCCCAACATTAAACACTAATGAAAAATACATTAGTGTTCAGTGTCAGGAGCTCTAGAACACCAATTCCAGGAGGTTAAGAGTCGCATGCACTCACTTCCAAATGTATCTGGCAACCATGCACTTCCGTGCCCTAGAGAGGGAGGCAAGGGAGAAGGGGGGGGGCAGTGGTGATTATGCAAATGTGGATATGCAGACATACTTGTAAAGCTTTCTGAAAGTAAATTAAGTTTTCAGATGGAAAGGTCTAACTCCCAGAATATACTTGGATAGAAGCCAGTTTCAGATTTGAGGTCCTAAAATAACTTGGTAAGATCATCTCTCAGGGGGAAAATAACTCCAAACTGTAGACCTAAGATATTTTTAGGTGTGGCAGAGCTGCTAACAGAAGCATAAGCCTTCGGAAACAATATTGCCCTTACCCAAGAAGTAAGAGAGAGAAGAAAGTTGTCATACATACTTTTTTGTTCTTTTATTTCCTTTTGAGAATAAACCTTATTTTGGATCATGTGTCAGAGAAAGTTTCAGCAGAAATTAGAGTAACCATGCTCAGAAACATTTCTGGGAACTTATCACTGTGTCTATCAAGGTGCTTTGCCCCCAACATTTCATTAATACTTAGAGTTTGTTTTGCTACAAGATGATGTGTGCATTTCTAAAATTCACTGCACTATGCAAAATTGTGCATGGGAAAAATGAGGGTAGGGACACAGCACTCAAAACCATCATCAGTGACACACTAAAAAGGGACCCTAATAAGAAGGGTAGTATAGTTTGTATTGATCTGAACTTGTGACAAATTATTAATTGCAATATCCAGGATAACCACTGAAAGAATGAACACACACACACACATTAACACAAGCATGCATGAGTGGACTTTAAAAAATTCATGGAAATGCACATGAACTTTTTGAATTTGTTTTATATTACAGGCAAACAAACACATATTTAAAGTGATATATTGAAAAATATCTTTGTAACTCAAAAGTAAGCAACAGCAGGTGGCTAGCGATGTGACATTGCAAGTAAAGTCACCTCTTGCAGTGTCAGCTTCCCATATGGGTGCTGGTTTGAGTCCCAGCTGCTCCACTTCTGATCCAGCTCTCTGCTATGGCCTGGGAAGGCATTAGAAGTTGGCCCAAGTCCTTGGGCCCTGAACCCACGTGAGAGATCTGTAGGAAGCTCCTGGCTCCAGGCTTCAGATCAGCCCAGCTCCAGACATTTTGGCCATTTGGGGAGTGAACCAGTAGATGGAAGAACTAATTCTCTCTCTCTCTGCCTCTGCATCTCTAACTTTGACATAAGTAGTTATGGCAATAAATAAATAAATCTTAAAAAACGAAAAAAATATCTGGAGGATGTTTCAGGAACATTCATGGACCCATTTTGTATATTCATATGCAGCCCATTCCACTATATGAAGTTTTCTATGTTTATCTAGTACCTTCAACAGATTGAAAAAGTTAATATTTGTCTGTTGTCAAACACACCAATAGCAAGAGAACAAAGTATGTTTTCAAAGCAAGCCTTGAAGCAGAACTGATTGTATGTGCAGAATAAC